TTTACACCATAAAATTCCTATTTTTTTTATCATTTGCCTAAAGTGCACAAAATAGTGACAACCACCTGGGAGATCAATACTCTTGGGGATTGGTTAAATTGAGCAGACTCTCACAATATATTGATAGGTATTTACAACCCATTGTGCAAAAATGCCCCAGTTATTTGAAGAATACTATTAAAGGACCACTATAGGCACCCAGACCACTTCAGCTCAATTAAGTGGTCTGGATGCCAGGTCCATCTAGGGTTAACCCTGCAGCTGTAAACATAGCAGTTTCAGAAAAACTGCTATGTTTACATTAGGGTTAATCCAGCCTTTAGTGGCTGTCTCATTGACAGCTGCTAGAGGCGCTTCCGTGCTTCTCACTGTGATTTTCACATTGAGAAGACGCCAGCGTCCATAGGAAAGCATTCAGAAATGCTTTCCTATGGACTGACTGAATGCGCGCACGGCTCTTGCCGCGCATGCGCATTCAGCGGAAGAGGGAGGAGAGTCCCCAGCGCCGAGGGAGCCTTTAACCTCTTCCTCCCCGGCGTGAGGGGGGCCATGAGGGTGGGGGGGACCTATTAATTCTATAGTGCCAGGAAAACAAGTTTGTTTTCCTGGCACTATAATGGTCCTTTAATATCCTTCAAATCCTGAAGGACATACTGTGGGAACAAGAATATTGTTTAGTCACAGCAGACGTGCACATTATAGAGGCTGCTCAGCAACAAAGCACTTTTTGCTTCTCTCAGAAGTTTCCCAGACTCAGGTTGATATTATCATGGACAGAATCCAATGGATCTAATTTATTCATGTCTCTATAGCAGTGGTTCCCAACCCAGTCCTCAAGTACCACTTACCAGTCCAGGATTTAAGGATTATCCAGTTGTGCCTAAGGTGTTTTTTTTATTATTGTGGTAGTTCACTTACAAGCTATTTTAGCAAGACCATGGTGAATTTTCTAGAGCTCAATATTTATGTATAAAATGGTTTCTTAACCCCTTAACGACCGATGACGGTTCAGGACCGTCATCGGGAAAATCCCCATAACGGTCTGGGGCTATTTACCTGATCGCCGTCGGTCCCCCGTCGGCGATCAGCGCTCCTCCCGGTCCAGGGGGACTGCCTGTCTGCCCGGGCAGTCTCCCCTCGGCAGATCAGGACCCGCGGCCACGTGATCACTTGATCACGTGACCGCAATAGGTGTCTGTGTATCTGCCTGCAGGGGGACTGTCTGTGCTGACAGGCAGTCTCCCTGCAAATGGAAAATCAAAAATAAAGTAAAAAAATAAAGCAATCAGTGTAAAAAAAATAATATATGTATATATAAATATATATATGATATATATACATGTATTATATCTATATATAATATATGTATGTATATCATATATATAATGTCATACTAAGTGTATTTTTATATTTATATATACGTATATTAATATAAAAATACACTTTTAATTTAAATTACACATGTATATATACAATATGTATAATAACTATATATATTGTATATATATATTATTATAAATTATAAATAATATGTTAATAAAAATAAATAACAGAAAGTAAAAATATATATGTAATTTTATTCTAACAGTATTTTGATATTTATATATATATTTATATCAAAATACACTTAGAATGTAATGATATATATCTATGTATAAATAAAAATAATACGAAATATACATATGTCCATATACATAATTACAGAAATAATTTCATAAATATACACGTAGACGTCAAATATATAAATATGTATATATATTAAAATTCTACGTGCATATTTATGTAATATTTTTACCTAGTTAAGTAATTTTAATGATTGCAATTTGAGGGACCTGCCTGCCAACCCAGGCTGAAAGTCTAGAGAATTTAATTTGCTAGCACTGTGTTTAACCCTGTAATTTTCTATGACACCCTAAAACCTGTACATGGGGGGAACTGTTTTACTCGGGAGACTTCGCTGAACACAAATATTAGTGTTTCAAAACAGTAAAACATATCACAGCGATGATATTGTCAGTGAAAGTTAAGTTTTTTGCATGTTTCACACACAAACTGCACTTTCACTGATGATATTATTGCTGTGATACATTTTACTTTTATGATACACTAATATTTGTGTTCAGCGAAGTCTCCTGAGTATAACAGTACCCAACATGTAGAGGTTTTATAGTGTTTGTGAAAGTTACAGGGTCAAATATAAGGCTTGATTTTACTTTTTTTTTTTTTATTGAAATTTGTCAGATTGGTTAGGTTGCCTTTGAGAGCGTATGGTAGCCCAGAAAAAAGAATTAGCCCCATGATGGCATATCATTTGCAAAAGAAGACAACCCAAGGTATTGCAAATGGGGTATGTTCAGCCTTTTTTAGTAGCCACTTAGTCACAAACACTGGCCAAAGTTAGCGTTTTTTGCATTTTTAACACACAAACAAATATAAATGCTAACTTTGGCCAGTGTTTGTGACTAGGTGGCTACTAAAAAAGACTGGACATACCCCATTTTGAATACCCTGGGTTGTCTACTTTAAAAAAATATGTACTCGTTTTCCTGGCTCTATAGGGTACTTGGGCCCCCCTCCCGCCGGGCTCTAGGGGGAGGAAAGGGTTAAATCCCTTACCTTTTTTCCAGTGCCAGGCTCCCTCGGCGCTGGGGACCTCCTCCTCCTTTCCCGTCATTGGCAGAATGTGCATTCAGCCAGTCTCATAGGTAAGCATTCTCAATGCTTTCCTATGGACGCTGGTGTCTTCTCATTGTGAAAATCACAGTGAGAAGCGCGGAAGCGCCTCTAGCGGCTGTCAATGAGACAGCCACTAGAGGCTGAATTAACCCATTTGTAAACATAGCAGTTTCTCTGAAACTGCTATGTTTAAAAGAGAAAGGGTTAATCCTAGAGTGACCTGGCACCCAGACCACTTCATTAAGCTGAAGTGGTCTGGGTGCCTATAGTGGTCCTTTAAAGACGACCCGGGCCCCAGGCGACACTTTCACAGGGAAAATGAGACTCATAAGCAGGGCCGGCATGGGGGAGTTCGGGGGACTTGCTACACTCTACTCTGTACCTTCTGTACCTGCTTTATGGACTGAACAAGACATACCTTTGTCAGCCAAACAATAGGTAATCCATCTATTGCCACACATTTAACCTTTCTGTCGGCAGCAGGGGATAACTTGCCAGTCAGAAGTACTTTTTCATGGGTAGTGATTATTATTCATCCTACTGTTTATATATTTTTTAAAATAATAACTGTATTGATAACAAAAAAGTAAAATGTTGTAAAATGCCTTTTGAAAATGCACTTTACAAAAAATTTATGTATTCTTCCATGCAGTAAATTACCCTTTTAATGCATTAAAAAATAAACAATGCCTTTAAGGGGACACTATAGTCACCAGAACAACTACAACTTAATGTAGTTGCTCTGGTGACTATAGTATGTCCCTGCAGGTATTTTCATATAAACACTGCTTTTCAGAGAAAGGGCAGTGTTTACATTACTGCCTAGGGACACCATAGTCACTCAGAGGTCACTAGAGGTGCTTCCTGGGTCAGTGTCTCCTATGCATTGAGGCCTCTGAATTGAGGTTGATAACACAGAGTTCCCTGGCATTATTGGGAAAGCATTGGATGTTGAGCTTTGCTGTTCCATGTGCACTAATAGATGAAAGGGTTGCAGGAGTTCTCCTTGCACTGATTTCAATAGAGGGGAGGGCTTTGGATGACTGGTAGAACTCTGTTCCTAGGAAACCTCAGGAACTTTTAATTCCTTTTTATTTTTTTATGGAACAGGGAGGATTAGGAAACCAAACTGTTTCTTTAGCTTTCCTTTACATGGCGGAGCACGTATATAAGATTCATGCTATGTGGAAGAGCACCTATAAAATAAGGCGCGGGGGGGATTCCTGATATTAACACCATATTGCTGATGCGGAATGATTTTGAGGTTTATTGAATAACCTTTAGGGACCAGATGGATCCTGTGTTGCCTTAGCTATAAACATCTGTTAGAGCTGCCAGAACTCGCCAGTGAGCACGTCGTCTGCTAGGTTAGTAAATACAGTCAGTGGATCCGCAGGCAGTATTAGGTTATATAATAACACACACTGTGTTCAACACATGGACAGAGTGCATTGAAGCATGGTGTGTGTATCTTCCTGAAGGGGGCGCTGTGGGCTCCGTGCTCCCCGCCTCCCTCGCCCCCTCTCTCTCCCTCTCTCTCTCCGCCCCTCGGTTCTCCCCTTTTCGGGCTTTCCCGCTCTCCTTCATCTCTGTCTGGCTGCCAGCCTATCTCTCCTTCTCAGGCCTCTTGTCAGCCCGCGGTGTTTCCAGGGACGCCTACCCAGCCACGGTGAGGGCTTCCCGGTGAGGGGACCAGGAAAGACACGCGGGAAGCCCGGCCTGTACCGGGCGCGGGGGGAGGATCAACGGCAGCAGGATGGCGGTCAGCCTGGATAAAGAGGCCTATTACCGGCGCATCAAACGCTTCTACAGCAACTGGAAGGTGATGGCTTCTCTTTCAATATTAGTTTAATGGTAACACGCGGGATCTGAGCGTCCGCTTTCCAGGAGGTTTGGGATAAAACTGTTGATCGCGGTTTGTGTGTCGCTCTACGTATTGTCACATTGCTGGAAACAGGCCTGGCCATGCTATACCGTGCCTGATACACAGCATTCTAGAGTGTTCAATAAACACATTCATGCCTACACATTCCCATTGATGGAGGTGTTTGTCTGCTACACAATGGATGAGGCTGTGTGTTTCCATGATTGTAACCACAGTATGCTTTGTATTGAAGAACATGTGTATATAACCTACATTAAATAATTACTGATAAACGTGTGTGTGTGTGTGTATATGTATATGTATATATATATATATATATATATATATATTTTAGTGTGTGTGTGTGTGTGTGTGTATATATAATCTGTGTATGTGGTTTTTAATAAATGTATAGTGAGAATTGCCATTTATGTATTAATCTGCTTTACTGCCCTGATTCTGCCAGTGATGAGTTGCCATGCTAATACCGACGCTGCAGCAAAGAGCTTTGTGCTCTATATGTTGGCAGCGGGTGAGTGTAGCAAACCTACTGAGGCTGCAATCTTGGGCAATCTGTTAAACTGATTTGTAACTTTTTAAAAAAAAAAATATTTTTTTTTTCCTTCCAAGCATTATGTCTGATTAATAGATCACATGAGTAATTCTAGCATGTATGTCTTCCACAGAAAGGTGAAGATGAGTTTTCAAATGTGGATGCCATTGTGGTATCAGTGGGAGTGGACGAGGAGATTGTATATGCCAAGTCTACTGCCTTACAGGTGAGATGGATAAAATGGTGGTTATGTGCTTAAAAACATGTGGCTTCTCAAAGGTAACAGCGCATCATTGCTATTTATTCTGTGTTTTAAGTTTTGGGCTTGTTGGTATTTGAGACTTAGTGGCACTTGGTGCAAATGGGGGAAACAAAAAAAGATTATAATATAAAAAAAATGTTGTAGGATTGAAGGGACGCTATAGACACCCAGACCACTTCAGCTCTTTGTAGTGGTCTGGGTGAAGTGTCCCAGGTCCCTTTTAATAAACTGCAATAATTACCCTTTTTGAGTGTTAACTCCACCTCTGGTGGCTGTCTATCTTGCAACCACTAGAGACTTCCGGGTCATTAGGTGACTTTTGGTCACCTGACAATGGACTTCCTCACACTATACATGAGTACATTTTAGCGTCATGTAAAACCCATCATAGATGGCTTCCTATGGGGGAAATGCAATTGCGTCAGGCTGAGGAGGAGCAGAGGCAGAGCCCGAACCGGTAAGTGACAGAAGGGGTTTTTATATATTGAGAAATGCTATTCATGTATTAATGCACCTTACTGCCCTGATTCTGCCAATGATGAGTTGCCATGCTAATACCGACGCAGCAGCAAAGAGCTTAGTACTCTATGTTGGCAGCGGGTGAGTGTAGCAAACCTACTGAGGCTGCCATTTTGGGCAGTTTGTTAAACGCGAGGGAGTGGGGCACTATAGGGAGCTATAGTGCCTGGAAAACCCTTTTGTTTTCCTGGCACTATAGTTTCTCTTTTTTTTAAACACCAGTTCTGCCATTTTGGATTTTGGTTGTTTTTTGTTTTTTAATTTGCCAGGTATATCAATTGTTAAATAATATTTCTTAAAAATATTTTTCCCTCTAACTGGACAGTACTTGTACTGAAAAACTAAAATTGAATTCCGATGTTTACTAGAACATAAAAATTGTTAGGGTTTAGAAACTGTTACGTAACAATATATGTAATAAAAATAAAAGAATGAGACAGCGCTTGGTTAACTTATAGGCAGCAACCTTAAAAGGGGATCCCTCGAACCCTTTGAAATAAGGTGAATAAAAAACAGTAAAAGGCTGCGCCACAATAAATAATAAAAAATATATGTAAAATAGTCCAATGGAAAGTCCAAAAAAGGGAGAAAATCCCAATATTTATCCTTACAGATAGTCTTTGGTGGTAAGGTCTTCTACTGATATGGTGGATCCACTTGGTATGAAAGATAAAAAGAGAGAGGGACAACCAATGGTGCAGTATGTAAAATTCAAATGTGAATATAAAAGAATAATAGTATAAAACTCACATTTACCAGAGCTAATATCCAGCTCTGGAGTAAGGCGCCTACAGCGGTTTAAATCCTCGCTTATGGGATATAAATGGGTTCCTCTCCGTCGTTGGTGTCCAATTCTCGGAATAAAAGAGACAACTAATAGTGCTCACTGTATAGTATTGTTGATAAAATAATAAAAGAATGTACTTACAAGGTAAGAGCAGGCCAACTGCTCTATGATGATAGCTTGGGTGGATTGATCCCCACCTAAGGATTTCTTTAAGTACAGGAAACTTTGGATAATATCCCTGGAAGTTTCCTGTACTTAAAGAAATCCTTAGGTGGGGATCAATCCACCCAAGCTATCATCATAGAGCAGTTGGCCTGCTCTTACCTTGTAAGTACATTCTTTTATTATTTTATCAACAATACTATACAGTGAGCACTATTAGTTGTCTCTTTTATTTCGAGAATTGGACACCAACGACGGAGAGGAACCCATTTATATCCCATAAGCGGGGATTTAAACCGCTGTAGGCGCCTTACTCCAGAGCTGGATATTAGCTCTGGTAAATGTGAGTTTTATACTATTATTCTTTTATATTCACATTTGAATTTTACATACTGCACCATTGGTTGTCCCTCTCTCTTTTTATCTTTCATACCAAGTGGATCCACCATATCAGTAGAAGACCTTACCACCAAAGACTATCTGTAAGGATAAATATTGGTAACAATATATGTGACTGTTAAAGGGACACCGTAGGCACCCAGACCACTTTTGCCCATTGGAGTAGCCTGGGTGTCTTGACTAGAGATTTCGCGAACTTCTCGCGAACGGCTTGCCGCGGTTCCCGTGAACCGTTCGCGGCGAGCTCCGGTCAGCTGACACATCCCGGCCAATCTCCAGCAGACCCTGCCTCGCACCTCCTTGCCAGCATCCATGTTGAAGCGGGAAGTTCGCGCAACGGTTCGCGACATCACTAGTCTTGACCCTCTCACCTTAGCCCTGTTATTAAAAACACTGCAGTGTTTTGATTTACAGGGCTAATCCCACATCTAGTTGCTGTCTCTGACAGCCGTTAGATGATGCTTCCGGATTCTAACAACACCAAAAGTGTGTTAAATGACGTTCGATGTCCAGACGCTCTGTATAAGGACGTCGAGCGTCGCCGGAATCCCCATAGGAAAGCATTGAATAATGCTTTCCTATGGGGAGGTCTAATGCGCGCGCAGCCATTGCCGTGCATGTGTATTAGGTCTCCCCCAGCAGCCGGCGGCTGAGGAGGAGCGTGGGCAGAGCTAAACCAGAGTCTACGTACACCGGCGCTGGACTCAGGTAAGTGACAGAAGGGGAAACTACAGTGCCAGGAAAGCAAGTTTGTTTTCCTGGCACTATAGTTTCCCTTGAAGTTTATACATCCTAAGGAAAAAGGGATAAGGAGTAAAATGAAGTTTTAAAGGAATACTGTAGTGTTATATATCTCAATGATGTGGTCTAAGTACAGTGTCCTTGTCGCATTAACTCAGCAATGTAAAACATTGCGGTTTTTGAGAAGCTGCTTTTTTTTTTACGTTGTAGGGTTAACATCTTCTAGAGGTGCTTCTGTGGCACAGACCAAGTAAACCTTGGTTATGTGATGGGGATGCCCCATTGGAAAGCATTGATTCAATGCTTTTATGTGGCAAGTTTGAATGTACACGCATCATTTGGATTGGACTCCTTTTTATCAAACTGACAAATCGGGTCTATAAGTCAGAGCTCATATCTCCATCTAGGAGCCCTGTCAATCTGAATTACACTTCCTGGATCTTGTTCGTACTCATGTCAATGTTGGGGTACAGTAGCACATATAATTAATGAGAGGACTTCTGAACAATTGCAAGTCTCTGATAATTACTGCTGCACATGCCCAGGACTATTTACCACATAGAAGTGACTTTTTATTTTTTTTATTTTTTATTTAAGAAAGCAAGCGTGGATGGTATTTTAGCATGTTAACCACTTCAAAAAGCTGAAGTGTGTGTATAGTGGCTAGAGTGACTTTTAGAAATAAATTTTACACATCATTATTTTAAAGGGGCACTATAGTTCCCTCTGACTTCCCCCTTCCTCGCGCCTCCTCCACTTCAGTAAATACTTATATTACCCCAGTGCTGATGTCCCTTGGTGCTGGGTTGCGGCTCCGTGTCCTGCGAGCCGGAGCTAATTCGCATGCGTGGCAAATGCCACACGCGCATTAGACCTCCCTATAGGAAAGCATTAAATATGGGGGAAAATCTGACGCTGGATGTCCTCATGCAGAGCGTGAGGACGTACAGTGTCCGTTACAGGACCAAAGGTCTGTTAGAATCCAGAAAGCAGCCACTGGAGGCAGACTTAGTGCTGCAATGTAAACACTGCAGTTGCAGCACTAAGTGCAATAGGGACACTTTACGCAGACCACTTAAATGAGCACTATAGGCACCCAGACCTTTCCAGCTTATTGAAGATTTTTTTTTTTTCTAATGTAAATATGTTAATGCAAGGTTATCTTATACATACCCCCTGGATTTACATACATCATTGTGCACAAATGCGATTTTAAAATGATCTTGATGTTTGAATTAAGATTTTTGCCTTCTACTCAAGGACCACTCCACTGAGTACTCTCCAGGCCCCATATTCACTTTCTCAATTGCCATTATGGGTTCTGAAGGTACTGCATGCTATCATCACATGGTCGCTCTTAACCAGAGTAGTAGCTTAGTAAAGTGAACATAAGTTTCTGTTTAGGAACTTAATGGTTTTCTCTGGCAATAGAAATAGAGGTGGAGCAGCTATAGGCAAAGCCTAGTAATAAGTCAGTCCATTCAAAAACTTTAAAGGGACACTATAGTCACCTGAACAACTTCAGCTTAATGAGGTTGTTCAGGTGAGAGCTATAGCTCCCTGCAGCCTTTCTCATGTAAACACTGTATTTTCTGAGAAAATACAGTGTTTACATTGAAAGCTAGGAACATCTCCAGTTGCAGTCACTCAGTGAACCAGAGGGACTTTGGAGTTAATGGAGGCTTAATATATCTCCATCCACTCAGATCTGCTGTCAGTAGAGCACAGGGCAGCACTGTGCACAGCATCCTGTGATTCAGTATCTCCTCCCTCTGCATGCAGACACTGAACTTTCCTCATAGAGATTTATTGATTCAATTCATCTCTGAGGAGATGCTAATTGGCCAGGGCTGTGTTTGAATCATGCTGGATCTGCCTCCTTGTCAGTGTCAGCCAATCCTATGGGGAAGCACTGTGATTGGATCAGGCTACCACATGTCAGCAGACTGCTTGTTTTTCTGAGTCTAACAGCATGCAGATTTACAGCTTCAGGCTTGAATACAGTAAGATTTTTACTATATTTATTGAGGCATGAGGGGGCCGGGGGGCTAGATGGTGGTGTTAACACTATAGGGTCAGGAATACACGTTTGTGTTCCTGTCCCTATAATGATCCTTTAATTCCTTACAGTGGGGAGTAGTTTTTGAGA